CGAGTGCACATAGCTCAACATGTCCCGCGTCACATTGGTGGATCGTGTAAACTGCACTCTCGTGCCCTTGCCGTAGATACAATTTTCGCAAAACTCAAAGTCACCAAGCTTGTCCTCATCGAACAAACCTTGCTTACTCAACTCCTTCAAACCTCTAACACTCACATGACCCAACCTTTTGTGCCAAAGGTTCGCCAACGATGTCTTTTGCGGTTCCGTAACCGCCGTCACATCACCGACCAAGGTGCTATTTTGTAGGACATAGATATCATGCTCTCTAATACCTCTCAAGTAAAGTAGCGATACCTTTGTGACCTTCGAGACATGATTTTCACCTTTCCAAGAAAAGCCTTGTTGGTCCAAGATTCCAAGTGAAATGAGATTTCTTCCTAATTCCGAGACATGCCGCACCTCCGTCACAATCCGCTCGATCCCATCGTGCGACTTAATACTCACTGTACCGGTTCCGGTCACCTTACATGACTTGTTGTGTCACAAGCAACACCTCGCCCATCGCGACTTTCTTGTAGCTCTCGTACCAACTTAAATTCGGTGTCATATGGAATGAGCATCCGGAGTTCATGATCCAACATTTGTCAAAATGAGTGATAGAGATAATGAGAACATCAGAGCTCTTGTAACCATCAACAACTTCTTGAACAACCACCGCCTCTCTATCTCGTCTCTCCGATTCAGACAATATTTTACCACATGCCCTTCTTCATGGCACTTATAACACTTGATTACGAATTTCTTCCGAGACTATCCATTACTCGAGTTCCGAAACTTCGATTGTGACTTTTTCTTTCCCTTGTGTCACTTGTCGGATCTAACTCGAGCCATGAACAAGCTGTATCCGCTAGTACTTTCCATCTCTGTCCGTCGTTTGTGTTCCTTTGACTTTAAAGCTCCAACAACCTCGTCAAGAGTAATCTCCTTCCTACCATATTGAAGAATGTCAACCATGTGCTCGTACGACCTCGGCAAAGAATAAAGCAAAACTAACGCTTGATCCTCATCGCTGTACTTCACATCAATGTTCTCCAAATCGACAATCAACTTGTTGAACTCGTCGAGATGTTCCATCAAATCCTTTCCTCCACCATCTTGAATGTGAAAAACCGTGCCTTGAGAAACAACCGATTTGACAACGTTTTTGTCATGTAAAGTGACTCTAGCTTCAACCATATCTCGGCCGCCGACGTGCACCGAATCACCTCCCGCAAGACCTTATCACCGAGACTAAGCATCAAGGTATTGAAAGCCCTCTCCAACACCTCCTCCTTCTTTGTCGCGTTCCAGGTCGTCGGAAGCTTATCGGACCCGTGAAGAGTCTTCCCGAGACCCATATTTCCGAAGTGAGACAACATCTTCATTTTTCATAATCCGAAGTCATTCGAGTCATCAAACTTTTCAAAATCCACTTTCGAGGTCACAAATCAACCCAAAGCCTCAAGGAAACAATTTATTGAACACTTGGTGTGCACACGAAACCACAACACAAAATCCAACCCAACCTTGCTCTGATACCAATTTGTACAATATGTTGAGGATACCTACGGAATTCGGAATACACTAGCACTACACAATGTATATATGCCTTGTTGGCTCCAATCCAATATTTGTCGATGAACAAGAATGAGACAACGAGATTCATCGAGGTTCAAACCAAAAAATCCTACTTCTTGCTTGGAGAGTGTTTCCACTAACAAATAATAATCCGAGATTACAAAGATTACAAGCCTTCACAACTTTCTCTTCTCTCTCAAAGATTTTTTCTCTCGGCTTACTTTCTCGTCCCTCATACGACTCTCGGCAGCACCAACGCAATTTGACCACTCTCTTCTCCTTTGCTCTTACTGTCTACCAGCTAATTGACTGACAGTCTATCTATCTATCTGACGATCTCTTGGCTTGTGAGGAAGGGCGGTGGCCAATCCAATCCAGTCCGTAGATGAAGAGGTTGCAAGCGGTGGAGCACGGATTTTGGTCCCGCTGAGAACCCACCCTAGGCTTGAAAAGCCATAGATAGGCATCGATTCATATACATTCATGTACCTCCTCCGTTCAGACTAAAAATGGGCTGATTAAGATCACGTAAAGACGCAATTCGTCGCCTGCGATCCCACTGCGGCCGTCTGGACCACAAACTTAAAGCCACGTTCACAAAAACCTACTCTTGTTTCCAAGTCTTTGATTTTTTTTCCTGAAAAACTCTATTTCTTCCCCGACGCTAAGTCCATGCCAGGTTGTGAAAAAATACCAGGCTTATTTTTTGGAGTAGAGAAGATGACTCAACTCAAAAACTTAGCAAATGATAAATATGAAGATTTGGATAATTTTTCTCTCAAACTTGTCAACTTAGTAATAAATTATATTGGATCAATTTTCACCAAAGCGTTAGATAATGCTACTATCTATGAATTTATTTCAATTTGGTACATACAAAAGATTGTTACTATTCACAAATTAGGAAGTAATTACTTGGTGACAAACTATAGCACTTTCATGTGTATTGTGTTTTTACAAAACTTTTTAGCAAATTGATGAGGTCAAAATAGAGCACATTGAATGAATCTCATCAAAAAAGAGCGCAGATTCAGCCTGATTTTTATCCTACATACATGAATATTAATCATATATTGGCCTTGGATGTTTTATGGAAAAACTCTATTTTGTTTTGCAAATTGGTGGAATGAAAGTAGATTAGATTAACTGAATCTCATCAGAAAAGAGCACGGATCAAAGCTGGTCTTTATCCTACATACAAGAGTATTTATCATATTTTGACCTTGCATGTTTTATGGAAAAGATTTAAGTGCAATGGAAAAGCTTTCTTTTGTGGCTTCATCGATATCAAGCAATATTTTGACATTGTATCTCATCAGCTCTTATGAAAAAGGTTTCAATCCACTGGAGTAACACTAGAACTTCTAGCAATCATCTCCCCACTACACTTTTCTCTTCGGAACAAGATAAACAATTTTCAAACTCAAGAGATCTTGAGTACCATCAAAGTACATTCTTTTAGTCTATTTGAAGTTTTCATAGATGAAATTGAAAAGTGGTTGGAGCAATGTGATAATGAAGATATCAAGCTTGAAAATTTTTGTCATCAAAGCTCTGCTGTATGTATATGATGTCATATTATTAATAATTAATGTCATCAGTTTACAAAAAAACCTTGACACTTTGGCAAGATTTTATATCCTGAATTAGTGAGAGATGAATATCAAGAAATCTAAAGTTGATATCGATATTAGATCCAAGTTTTTTTCTTTTATAAAGATCTACAATTAGAATAAGTGAAAAAATACAAAAAATCTAGCTATCTATTTTTCTAATTACTATAGTTGGGCACTTTGCTTGCAAAAGAGAGTAGAAGCTAGATACAAGACTGTATATTATTGTTGAATATTTGTACAAGAGTCCATCTTGTGACTTGAAGTATTAGGAAAAATTGATTTCAGAGGTTAGTATTGCCGGTAGTTTTATATAGAACGCAAGTGTGGGGTTCTGGTAGGAAGAAAACAGATTGGGAGCGCATGGATAGGATGCAAAAGATCTCTCTATAAAAAGAATTGGATGTAAGAAACCAATTTTCATATGATATTATTCTTGCAGAAATAGTTTGTTTATCTCTACAAGCTCAAACTTTTTACCTCATCATCACTTACAATAGAAGAGTGTGATTTATTGATGCTTCTTGTCTTCATCTCAAGTTTTGAGTGCCACACATTCCATTGGCTCTTTGACGGATGTGGTGACTTGGTCTTTGAAGTGGAATGTTGCAGGACGCAATTGCAACCGATGTCACTTCGCAAACGTCTACAAGATGAATTCCTCAACACAATTAAAAACAGACCACGCACCAATATACAATTTTATCCACTTCATGTTAATCATATGCTTGTTTATTGCAAACTAGATTATCTACTTGCAGGGATCTCTGCGTTCTTTGTCATGTTATTGCTCGACACATAAGTGTATCTCATAAGTTTCAAATGGTTTAAGATGAATAGAGGTAAAAGTATTTGTAATCTATTTGACAGTGGTAATATTGAGTATGAATAGCATGCGTTTGTTACAAGTACTAGGTACCAAGAGAATAAACTTCTCATAAAATAGATGTAGAGAATCTTTATTCTTTATTATAGCTAGTGCTTTTTCATTTAGGTTGTTATTATAGAGACACTATAAATCATAGTTGTTGTGTCTTGAAACTAGCTAGGGTTAGGATCATTGTATTATATTTTTCAACCTTTTCGCACTTTGGGTACCACTCGGTATAATTTACATGTATAATAATACATTTCTTTAGACTTTAGCAAAATTCTTTTCAGTGGTGCAAAACGTCGGACACTAGGGATGTGCAGGGCGGCTAGCCGCCTAATATTTTTTGTTAGCCGGCTAGCCGAAAAATATTGCTACCGTTATCCGATGTCAAAAATAAATCGTAAATTCGGATCGAATTTACGTTTTCAACCGATATTTTCCTCAGACTCGGCCGAAATTGTCCAATAAACGTTTATTTCGGCCGAATATTTCGGTTCATTTCATTTTAGGCCTAGAGCTACCCGGCTAGCCCTTTGTATCGGCTAGCCGAAAGTTAGCCGGCTACGTGCCCATCCCTAATGGACACTCTATTCTTTCGGGAACTCCACCTTTATAGTGGAATGTTGAAGTGATTCACTGAAAACTTCACATGGCACATTCAAACTGCAATCGTAATTCATGTCAGCGACGGCAATTGTCCCAAGGATGGAAGTGGGCCTCGGCACACCAGTCAGATAAAGCGCTGTGTGATCATTCAGGAAGGATGATTATTCCACCGATCGGTATTAGATTCGAGCATCTAATTGCAGAAGGTACTATTCTTACAATATCGCTTAAAGTTGAAACTTTCTCTTTTCGAGCATCAGACTGTGAATGGTCGAAAGTCTTCCGAGAAGTCTGTGCCACCCGCACTGACTCTCGTGCGATGCGGCTGCGTCATGTATTCAGCTGTGAACATGATGACGATCGTCAGTTAGCTCGTGCAGAAGAAACAGAAGGAATGATACGCAGGCGAGTCAAAGTACGACGACATAGAGAACCATGTGATCTGGTCTTTTTACTCTCTGGATGTGATGAAAACCAGTCGACCTCTTATGATCACAAGTCTTCTCTCACTCGTCCACGGAATCAACGGAACGTGTATTTCATTCTGGAAGTGAAGAGCGGCCACAGCCTTTTCTGATTCTTCTGACTGGCTCAAAAATTCTACGAGTCTCGTTGACCCAGTCCTATCTCAACACGATCCGTACCTCCGATGGAATTGTTTGTAACTCGGGTTGTCCACAACTGAACTATTTCGTCAGCTGTCGACTTTTCACGACCTGTTGATTACCATCACATCGAGGAATTTAGGAATACTTACATTATCGTAGTCTGTCAGGATGCCAAGTGGTGCTAGTGGTGACGATTTATTGAATATCACTTGATGTTCTTCGGCCAGTTCAGGTCTCTGTTTCAATTGCGCTGTAATGTCGCGTCTGAAGTAGACCACATTGTTGGGCTGGGGATCGACGTCCCTTCTCGTCGAAAAGGAGGTTAATGATGTCTCGACGGAAGTCTGTTACTGGTGCTCTCTGTTTCGAGTGGCTTTCAGTACTCGTTTGGACCTATTGCTGGCTCGCTGCACATGTTCATGGATTGTCACCCGATGGTCAAATTCTTCTTGAGATCAAGAGTTCCTTCGTGGACACTCCAGGAAATATGAGCAATTGGCTGGCGACAGATGCAACTCCTTGCAGTTGGTTCGGTATCTCGTGTCTCGAGGATGGATTATCAGTCCGGTCGGTCACCCTCAGTGGACATGGCTTCAACCTCTCAGGAGAAATCTCTACCAGCTTAGGGAAGCTGGCATATCTGCAGGAGCTTGATTTAGCTTTCAACAATCTGAGCGGCCCCTTACCCAAAGAACTTGGCAACTGCTCTGAGCTGCGGTCCATGCGATTCGATTCTAATCCGCTCATTTCAGGAACTATTCCTCCTGCGTTCGGCAACCTGTCCAAATTGCAAGACCTAAGTCTATCCCAGCTGCAGCTTACAGGCAACATACCCATTGAGTTCGGTAATTTGAAGAGTCTGCTGAGCCTGTCCCTCTACTCCAATAATCTCTCAGGCTCCATACCACCAGCTCTGGGATCTCTGCATCAACTCTCCGTCCTTGAGCTGGCCAACAATTCTCTTTCCGGCCCTCTACCTCCTGAACTGGGCAACTGCAAAAACCTCTCCAGCCTGATTTTATACAGCTTGCAGCTAGAAGGGAGCATTCCGCCGACGTACGGCCAGCTGGAGAAATTACAAGAGTTGGACCTCACGACCAATCGACTGACTGGTGAAATTCCACCCGAGCTCGGAAACTGCTCAAGTATCACGCACATTTACTTGGGCACTAATTCTCTCAGCGGCCAAATACCGGAGCAGCTTGGAAGACTTCAAAATGTGAAGGTTTTGTTTCTAAACACCAACAGTTTTACAGGGGTGATTCCTGCCGTGCTTGGAAACATGTCCAGTCTCACGAACCTCACGATAGGAGAAAATTTACTTGTGGGAGAGATACCTCCAACACTGGGGTTCTTGAGAGATTTGATGTACTTGAATCTTTATGAAAACAATCTCACTGGAAAGATCCCCGGTGAACTGGGCAACTGCACGAAGCTTGACTTCCTCTACCTTCCTTTCAACAATCTAACAGGGAGCGTTCCACCTGAGCTCGGAAATCTGCGGCTGCTGTCCTCTCTTCAGTTATGGAATAACAGCTTGAGTGGCATTCCATCTGAACTAGGTAATTGCTCCAACCTCCAAGTGCTCGACATCTACAGCAACAAACTGGTCGGCAGCATTCCACCAGAAATTGCTAAGCTCCCTCGGCTGCGAGAACTTCGTCTGTATGACAACCAGCTCACCGGAACCATCCCTTCTGATCTTGGGCTTCACAGCAACCTCACGTATGTCATTCTTCGCATGAACAAATTGGCTGGACCTATTCCAGCCGGGCTCTGTTCGTTTCGAAGCATACTGATTTTAGATCTATCGAGCAATATGTTGGATGGTACAGTGCCAGTTGATGTGACAAGGTGTCCGACACTTTATCGCCTGCGCCTTCAGTACAATCGACTTACAGGGCCGATACCCAAGGAAATCGGGCAGAACAAAGCACTATTATATTTCGACGCAAGCTTCAACAACTTGAGCGGCAGCATTCCCCCTGAGGTGGGCTTGTGTACAAAGTTGACCGCAGTACTGCTTTCTCAGAACAGTCTAAACGGCACAATTCCGTCAAGCCTGGGCCAGCTTCCACTCCTTGTGGAATTGAATGTGTCTTCCAATCAGCTGAGTGGCTCTATCCCATCCGAGCTTGGGAACCTCTCAACGCTCTACGAGCTGGACTTGAGTGACAACTCTCTGACGGGAGACGTTCCCCTGGAGTTGTCCAAAATGTCCAGTTTGAGATTTCTCAATCTGAACGACAATAGTCTAACAGGGCTTTCAAATATCTGGAGTTCTCTCGGCAGTCTTCAGGGACTCCAACTGGCAGGCAACAAGTTTTCTGGTTTGGTGCATGCCGAGATTGGCACGATGACGTCTTTACAAATAATCCTGGATCTGAGTAGAAATCATTTTTCCGGTCAAATTCCTGCTGCGCTCGGTAGGCTGCAGCTGTTAGAATACCTGGACCTATCGCGCAACAATCTGTCAGGACAGATTCCCGAGAGTTTAGACAACATGCAGTCCCTACTTTTTGTGAACATCTCGTACAATAATTTGATCGGGCCTTTGCCAGAATCATGGCAGAAATTTATTACTGCCGATTCAGTGATCGGAAATCCTGGTTTGTGCACTTGGGATGGGAACTGCAGCTCGTGGTCGCAATCAACAGGTCAAGAAGGTGAAGGCGGTGACAAATATTCAAATTGGGCAATTGCTGGCTATGCAATATCGGCTTTGGTGGGTGCACTGGCCTTAATCTTTTTTGGGGTTGGTCTTTACCGTCTGAGGTCAAGAAGGTTGGACAGACGTGGGGCAGAAGGGTGTTTAGAAGTCTGGTCTAAAGATGTAAAGTACAAGGAGATTTCCTTGCAGTCGATTCTCCGTGCCACAGGCGAGCTGAATGGTAATTGCATTATACACCGAGGAGACAGCAGCACTCTGTACAAAGCGTCACTGGACTCAGGGCAAGTGGTGGCGATTAAGGTGCTCCGAGAGAATGTAGACGACCGGATGGAGAAAGAATACAGGAGGGAAGTCGAGACCGTTGGAATGATCAGGCACCGCAATTTCGTGAAGATGATCGGATTTTGCGAGTGGAAGAAACACAGATTCCTCGTCCTCGAGTTCCTGAGCAATGGGAGCTTGAGCGATGTGCTGCACAAGAAGAACGCCGAGGGCTTACGCGACTGGAATTCGAGATACAAGGTGGCAGTGGGCATAGCTCACGGATTGGAGTATCTGCACTTCGACTGCAAACCGCAGATCATACATCGGGACATCAAGTCTTCAAACGTCTTACTCGACGACGATTTCGAGGCTCAAATTTCCGACTTCGGTAGCGCAAAGCTTCGAGACAAGTCGCACCTGAATGGTTCCACGTCCAAGGTTGTGGGCTCACATGGATACATGGCACCAGGTGATGATGTTAACTCACCGAAATGCAGGATATATGCACATGCATATACCTCCTCCCCTGTTCTCAAAACATTTTGTTCCTAGCTCCAGTTATGTTCTCACTGAACCACAGCTACAAATCTGACTAATATAAATTCTTTTCTCTGGTTGCACAGAGTGTGGGTACTCCCTGCAGGTGAGTGACAAAGTTGACGTCTACAGCTATGGAGTGGTGTTGCTGGAGCTTCTGACAGGGAAGCACCCACTTGATCACAGCTTTGCGGTAGGGACGACTCTGGTAACGTGGGTAGAGTCCAATATCAGGGAGGCAAGATTGTCGCATGAGGTACTACTGGATAAGAGGCTGCTGGACACTGGAGACGATCATGTCGCGAAGGAGCTGCAGCTAGTCATGCAGATAGCAGTTCTATGCACAAAGGAGCTTCCTGCAGAACGACCTTCCATTCGACAAGTTCTGAGCATGCTGCAACAAGTCCGAGCACGTTGAGAGGGCCTGGAGGCAGTAAAGTCAAGTGATTACGACAGAGTGTGGCCTATAGTTACTGTGTTTTCCTCCAGGAAAAGACAGTAACTAGCAGGAAGAATGCAGATTTGCATGGACCATTGTCTTTTAAGCTGAAAAGCGTGCTTCTGTTCTACGATGCACAGTAGCATGAGGGTCCCTGAAAGTGAAGCAGATACACGTGCGGTGAAGATCCCTGCAGCTGGCGTTGGTGTAGATCCCTGTAATGTGGAATCTCCGTCGCATGTTTGTATACTGCCTCATAGCCTATGAGGCAGTATATGAGTTTTAGGGTCGTCACCTATGAGTCATAGGTGACGTAATTAGTAATAGACATTGTGATTCAATTGGAACTAACCCGAGCCATTTTTCTTCATGGGGTCTGCTACCATTTTTTCCTTCTCTTTTGGCCACTGGGGACACCGTCTGAAGATTTATAATATCTTTAGGAAAGTTAGACTATGGCAACACGCAAAGTGGGAGTAGGAGCTCCTCACGCAGCTTTCGTTAGCATGGACTACTTCAGTGTTGATTAAAAGAGTACAAGCAAGCCCCTAAATTGTGGGACTCATCGCCTTACGTAGAACTTGTTCGCACTACGGTTGCCTATAGGATTCGGTATATGTCTTTTGCTTCTTTCGTATTGATCTTCATTATACTGCAGTAGATGTATGCCCATGAGGCAGGTTTTGTTCAGGCTTTTAGTGAGGATCACCTAGTTATTTTGCTTGCAACCTTACTTTGTAACTAAACTACGGGCCAACTAGTTATTACAAAATAATGGGCTAGATCCCACAGCCTAATGAGAGTTTTAGGCTTTCTTACACTTACCTCCAATAAACAAAGCATTTAAATTGAGTATAATGTGACATTAATTATACATTTTCATTACGATGGCTCTCCTGAGTGTATCCTTGACTAGTGCGCTTTCTACATCATGCAAACATGTTCAGTTAAATAATCTATGCGATTTCAATGCTACATATACATTAATAGATGAATTATACCACATAACATACTAAGAAAACATTACAACAGATGTTCGCATTGTTGCGCTAGACGTGAGCTCTTGTAGTTGATGAAATGTTGTCAAAGAAGTTAGAAACATCATTTAATGCAGCTCACAAACTTGAATATGGGCGGAAGATATCAATGCAAGAACCTTGGTCTCGTGCCCCTACATACATTTCGTGTCGTTTTTGCCAAGTATGTGGCCATGAAGAAAAAAGTAGTACAAACGCGCAAGTCATATCGACTAGAACTGTACTCACAACATCTTAACACTTAACAAAGCAAACACTTAACAAAGTGGAGTGAGTATTGTTCTTTGTCACTAGAAGTCAAGCAAAATTTCTTTGATACTAATGTTTCCGTGAATACTATCCATGTTCATTTTGCTAGATATGTTGATATTCAAAACACCTTTTATACAATTTTATGCACGCTTTGATTTAATTTCAAAGCTCATGACATTTTCATTGATCAGATGTTGAGTCTTTGCAAGTCACTCTTATTTGATACTGCGATTGTATGTTCTAGACTTCATATCAATAACATTAACCTTTTCAAACTTGTCATTTTGATGATTGTTCTTGGCTCCTTGTTTAGATAACATCTCACTGTGAACTATGAGTTGACTTTCACTCAAGTTTAGACATTATAGCTAAACTTAGTCATCATTATATAAATTTAGTTATGACTAGTTAGACTTAGGTATAACTAAACAAATCATGATCAACTCCTTTGTTACTTCTAATACTAATTCAAACATACAGTACAAAGTCAAATGTGCACGCGAAGAATTGACTCTTTGTTATCTTGGAAACACCAATGACGAAAAAGTATCATCGTTTGTTTGGTTTGCTGCCATAGTTAAACTTAAAAACTCGAGCATATTATTCACTAGTTGTTGGAACTTTTTTGTTGCCTTTGATTCATCAACTCTTGAGAGCATTTCATATTTTGATTTTCAAATGAGAATCGTTATGGGCACGAGATTATATTGCTTCCATTTATGTTGTTTTTTTCTTTTTGGACAACATATCGTAGACAATTTGTTTGATAGAATTGAGAAAATTATGGATGCAATTTGTACGTCTTGGATATAAGTTCTTATCAACATGGTTCAATAGGGCTCCGAATATTACAGTTCGAGTTTGTGATTAAGTCTAAGAAGAATGTTGCTACTGAATTCAATTTTGATGTGTTGCACACCAATTTAATATTGTGGTTCAAGCTGTAATTTCCGTATATTTTAATGACAAATTTTACTAAACGTTAATTGCCACAACCAAATAATTGCAACGGCAGCAAAACTTAATCAACAAAATACGATCTAAACGTACAAAGATTATTAGTACTCGATGGGGAAAGTGTAGTCTTGGTTTTTTACTCATCATTGTCGTATTATTGGTTACATGTATCCAAAAAATGCTGATTTCAAACCTAATGTCATGTGAAGGATTATTTTATATTCAATTTTTATTTCGATCAATGCAATCAGCGCCACCCTTAACTATATAAGGACTCCTTCAATTCGGTAAAGCGGCGTATCAGGGACATGAACCAATAATTGCCAAGATCCACATTGAGTTCAAAACTTGGTAACACCATAACAGGAAGACACCTTCTTTAGATTCAATCACTATCTTCGGTATATGACATGAATGCGAGTTCCGCTTTTCGAATCTCAAATAAAAGAACAAGATCAATGCATATTATATCGTAAAGATTTTTACATGCTTGCCAAGTACGTAGTTGCACACTTTGTACTAGTGCATGGTTCATTTGTTGCGATATTGTTGAATGTTGTGGTTTGTTCGGTTGGAAACTAGTTGTTAGTTTGGAAAGAGTGATATATGCGATAGTAGGGTATGATAATAATGCACCGTAAGTCTCTTTAGCTACATCTCTTATTTGAGAATTCGTTACAATGTTTCCACCAAGCTTAGTTTACCTTGGTTTCTTTGGATTCTGATCTCCCCTTGAAAAGCAATTCAGCAACGAGTAGATTGACGCGCTTGAAAACAAAACGAAACGAACTAAAACGAGATGCGTATCCTTTATCAAAGAGAAGATTACCTCTGTGAAATAGTGGATCAAATGCCAAAATTGTTCAATTTCCATGATGCATGGAATACTTTTGAACCTCAAATCCCAAACTATGTACGTTTGATGTACACTTTGCTAGTAAAGTTCTTGGAATTCGAGTGTGAAGGTGATTTCTTAGTGGTTAGCTAGTGTTAACTTTGCTAGTAAAGTTCTTGGTATTACGAGTGTGGAGGGTGGTTTCTTCGTGGTTAGCTAGCGAAAAGATGAACACAGATCGTATTTGATGTGTCTGACACTCTAATGTATCATGCATTTTAAGCAATTCAAGGAAATTCGAACAGTTTGAAATTGTGATCATACCTGCAGTAAGTGAAAAGCGATTAACGGAGATGTATCAAGTGACGAATGTAGAGTACAGGAAGTGGAGTTTTTTATTAGCCGGATGACTATGACGTAATGCACACTTTCTAGAGATGTTGGAATTTGACGTGTGCCATGGTGTGTAGAGATGTTGGGATTTGACCTGTGACAAGGTTGTTGCTGTGGAGTGCAAGGTGAGGGCAAACTTCTTGTATTCTACTTGATTTCCACGAGCTGATCGGAAATTTTGCCTTTAAGTTGGAGCTCGGAGAGGCTCAGGGTTTGCAGTTCATCATAGGGATTACCTCCTAAGATCCATTGGTTAGTGTCGAATAGAATGTACAGCAGCTCCGAGCAGACACCAAGTTAGATGAGTAGAGGAACATGCAAAGGTTCTTGATCATTGATGTGTAATTCAACAAATTGTAGGGCCACTTGCTTTTGATCATACGTTGAAAACTTCTGATCTTACGTCGTTGGGTATCATACCTCGAGTTAAGGTGTGCTTAACACCCGTTTGCATTCTTGGCTCGGCCTTCCTCACATGATTCAAAACACAGATCATCCCATAGCCATGCTAAGATTTCCCGACATGGATCTCTCAAGTTTTGTAATTCATTTGCTGTCTATAGGATTTCAGTGCCAAAGGAGATTAATCTCTTAGTGGGAGTTTCTGCAAAATGGCAGCCGAATGTCAACTGAATGAAGCCGCCAACCTCTTCTTCACTGCGTTTGCTCGTTCAATAGTTCTCCAGTTCTTTCTTTTTCCTCTAACGTCAAATACAGTTTCGAAAATTCATTTTTTGTTGCTATTTATCAGGAAATTCCAGCATCCGAACGAAAAGGTTCGGATGCTGAGACGTAAAGACACGATCTTCCTCCCAATCTTCTATATTACAATTGACTCAAGCTGTCTAAATTAAATTCTCTTACAGTTTACACCTCAGCTTTCTTACAAAATTGCATGTGATGGTCTTGTGAGAAGAAACGGATCAACAAGGTCCACTTAACGCATTCGCTGGCAGTTCCAGCAGACCACCGATCCTGTCCACCTGCATTGCCATCAAGATTGTACTACACGTTATCAGAAGGCTGACACTTTCCGCTTTAAACCTCGACAAAAGGAAGTAGGCCATGCTCTATCTCGAACATTGTGGATAGACTAGAGGATCACCATATATGAGCTTCTTGTCTTGAATCAGCAACAAATGAACTGGACCATTAAGAAAAAGTTATCGACTAGTATTCAGTTTTCGTGTCGGCAACAAATGTGGTACCTTCTCGATGAGAAGCTTCAGGATCGGTGCCGATGAGAGAGTTTTCTTAGATCCAAGCAGCACAAGTTTTGTCTGATGTGAAAATAAGAGAGAAGAGTATGAGATTGATTACATGACTACCCTAGACCTAAGCCCCCAAGGGATTTACGAAAGATGAGCTTCTAGTACTGTTCGGCAGGCCTCATGCTAGTACGTTCTCTTCTGCGCATCTATGATCATCAAAAACAATCTTGTTACTTGCAGGGGAAGCAATGAACAGAGGTCCCTCACGTAATCCACTGGGAACGTTGTTAACTGACAGTAGGGATTCTCTCATTAGGATGTTGGTAATCGTGTAACAAGGTCCAACACAAAACTCGGTGAAAAAAGAAGTACCTTCGCGCGAGTAATTGCGACGTTGATGCGATGCCAATCTGCGAGTAACTGTCCTGATTGCCGCTGGGGGTTTGATCTCACAAAAGAGATCAAAACACAATCTTTATCACGACCCTACAGCCAGAACACACCTTGTTAAGCACGTTGGTTGAAGTGCAGATACTATCTGTAGAAGGGGAGCATCACCATTATGGCAGCTTCACCGTGACTGACCTGATATTTGTCAACGGTGTGTACTTCCAGGTCAGAAAAGCCGGACTTGGTAGCCAATTGCTGAATGTAGTCCACCTGAGCGTTATAAGGGCTGATGACTCCAATCTTCTCGAGAGCTAATCCTCCTTCGTGAAATACATGCACTACCTTCGCACAGAAAATACAAGATCTAAACAGATGAGACAATGGAGAGTGCTCTTCGAGACAGACCACAATTTAAGAGCTTTAGGAAAAACTTTTAGGAGAAGAGATCTAATTTAGCTGGAAATCCAGAACAAATTTTTTTCAGGAGATCAAAAGGATTCGAACAATGAAACTTACTTTCAAAAGTAGGGATGCTTCCGTACTGTTGTATACTTTATGTCTAACACGTGATTCCTCTGTTGAAAGTTTATCTGCAAAAGACTTACTTCTCAGAATATTACATACTGAAAATACAAAATAATCTCAGATTGGGTACGACCTTCCTTGCAAAGTACACAATACCCTGGAGAACTTGTTTAATGTCAATATCAAGCAGTTAATGAAGGAGCTATCTACAATAATCATGTCATCAAGCCTAATCAAAAGCTCCATGGACCTATCTGCTCAGCGAGAGAAGGAATATCGACTTACCAGTATCTAGAAACAGCACGCGTTGCTCAGGGTTTACTACCTGCGACGAGGTTGGATGGGTGAGGTTCATAACCTGATCTGCTTTGTTGCTCAGGTTCGATAAAAGCGTGCTTCTTTCAAGAAAATAGCTAGCCATACGAATTAATAATAGACAGCTATCTACTTGAAACAGTAGAGCTGAATGTCCGCCTAAGGAATTTCAAACCATATTCATAGGTATATTAATTTGAGGGCATAACCCTTACCTGCGACAACCAAGCAGAACTAACAGGAGTAGAAGAAAGCTGAAGAGTTGCATTGGCAACTTGAGGTGACCCACAACGGAGGCGATCTCCATAAATAAGGCTGTTGCTAAGTGCCATTATATCTGAACACATTCGATACTGACACGTGAAACCATGTGAGTTGAGATACTACCTTCATACAGTCAAGAAGACTTTTGGGAGACATGACTGTAAAAGTTTGTCAAATTGAAGATAACAAAGGTTCCAAACTTCAGTGGAAAACTTCAGGACATATAATTGTACTCTTTAATATAAGTCGTCGGCTGAAGACCATAACTCTCTTTACTGCCCTGGCTGGACGTTAAAGAGACCCTTAAGAAAAAGCGGCAATCAGATTCTAGACTAACATGTATCAAGATAATAAAGTTTCCTACTAGTGTCGTAGTAATGAATAAAACTGAAGATTTACTTTTAGCGGTAAAAAGACTGATACTCAGGGATCCCTCTCTATTTTGAAAGGTCTATGTAAGAAACTCACAATTCTAAACCCTGCAGTCCACGTTGTAAGGGCTTCAGTTAAGCTTACCTGACTTTGAAGAGCACAACTACTTTGGGGATGCGCTTCGGATAATCGTCGAAACAGACTGACTGCCATGCCATCCTCTCTCGCCTCTTGTGTCTGAAAACATAGTATGAATCATTAGTAGAAGGTAGACGATGCACATCCTCACACGCCAGCCTAGAGTAGGTTTGAGCGCATGGTCTAGAGGGAAGACCTTCACGGAAACTGGACAAAATCTCTTCAGGAGACTTTCACAAGATAGACTTGACTGACGCTGCATACCTCCAGCATGAGCCTGTGTTATGGAATGAATCAGAAAAAAACTCAACTCTTTTTCCACCCTTTACCAAATGTCTTTCTATGTACATACCCGTTATCGCACCGAATGGGGTTGTCCTAGCCCAATTTAAGCACCCAAGCCAATTTAGGTACCCAACGAAAGGCTTTGTCTTGACATTTTAGCCTTCAAGCACCCTCATTCCAGCAACAGTGTACACATGAGGAGCTATAGATTATCCTCACTGAGCAGCACTACGACTCGTTACCCCGATAACAAATTGAAGTTGGAATCTGTAAGGGATTGGGGTTCTTGGACTGTGTTGGCCCTGAAGCACCTCAGGCCAAAGACATCCTCACGAAGGCAACGGAGCTTTCCGCATAAGAAGCAAGCAAATTTAACTGGAGTAGAGGCTTGGAGGTCCAGTGTTTAACCACTGACGGAGCTTGAGAAATTCCTACTCCAGCACTTAGTATATGGATGTACTTAAGCACCGAAGAGATTGAATTCCAACCACCGGAGAGTTTCGTGGCACCTATTACCAATCAGGTAGTAACATTTGCATCCGTACCTGAAAGGCTTGCAGCACCACCACTCAATCACCAGACGACCTCTACATACCCAGGTTAAGCACTTCAAGGGCTTGTGATATAAGATGCAAAGGAACATCACCACTGAGTTGGTCTGCTGGAATAATGAGATAATGAGTACCAGAGTACTATTGAGTCATGAAGCCTTCTCCCCGTTGTAAACGCAGGCTTTCCGAGAAGCCAAATTGCGGATAATGGTGCATGCGGCATGAAAATAGGGCTCATATTGCCTGCAGAAACCCTCATGGTGACAACATCGTGCTTGTGGTGCCAGAAAGATCATGTCCAAGCACTGATGGTGCTAAAAAACCTTTCATCAGCAACCGACTCAAACACCCGCAGGGCTTGCAGGACGAGTTAAAACCATCATACTGGTTGGATGTACTGGATGGTCTTACACCATCCAAGGGACCTCATGCTGCAACCTTAAGGCAAGGTTTCCAAAAGATAAGATCTCAACTCATCTTCCCCAAGGGTACTGTCATGTGTCAACAGAAACATAGAACTTGTGTTACTTAGCCATAGTGTATTTACTGATAGGAGTATGATTGAATATTTTTCTTCCAGCGCTAGTGAAGCCATCATTGTCTGTACACGTTGAGTACAGTACTTTGTATATGACGGACAAGCTTCGCAAACCTCACCCTTACTAACGGAGGAAGCTGATAGTGATCTCCAACAAGCACAAACCTCCGTGCACATCGGAGTGGACCGAGGCAAATCTGCAACATGAATGGTTTAGTGTTAGTAACAAATCAATGTCAAAAGTGCCAGTTTTGAACTTCATACACTTCATGAATCAAGAGATTGTCTTAAGAGTCAAGAAGATAAGCTCAACGCCTCTTCATCTCGACCCATCAATTTTCCCTTCATGTCCTAAGACTGTGAACCCCTGGGGGGTTAAAGTCTTCGGGCCATAAGCGGCATACTAATCATTAAAGTTCGTGAATCTACGTGTGCGTCTTCTGGTGCTGATAGATTATGCTCTGGGTGGTAAAAATGACTAGCACCACATGCTAATTATCGTGCCAACAGAATATCACCGCTCTCGTCACTGATCTCTAACTATATAGAAGATCCTTCACGCTCATAACTAGCATTCGTCATACAGACACGTAAAACATGTGCGTTTATAATATACTGTTTAAGGTAAATTTATCTGACATGCTTCATCGAGGATGCTAAATCTAAGTTTGCCCACTACGTAAGATCTATTGGGCATGGCTAATTGATTTTTTTTTTAAATTATCATATTATCAAAGGAAATGGTTTCGAGGTACGACACATTACAGGTAAAGTTATCTGGCCTGCTTCATCGACAATGCACACATCGAATTTGCGCTTGCTAAATAGAGCATGCGATATTCCCAAGCATGTCACGCCAACTACTTGTGCGCAATCCACAGCTGACGCAAATTCTTCGACCGTTGTATACGATTTACCTGCACCAGTACCACTTTCCTTATCAGAACTATAGGAGAACCCAACAGACCTTCCACCAACTACATGGAAGTATATGAAGGTGTCGATTTGAAAGACCATATACGCAGTTAAAGAAAAAGGCCTCTAGCAAATTGTCCAGAGACTTAACAATGAACTCCTTCAACTGAAAGCCAAGTTAGCGCCTGCAGCAGAACATTCATTCATGACTGACCTTCACCAAGAACCTTGTCTCGTAGCTCAGGATGAACCGCACTACTCCTTCCAATACGAGTGAAGTCTATACCCTGGATGAGGAAGGTAAGAAACAACTGTTAGAAGTTTTAAAGCAACGGTTGACACTTTATCATGCATTCGTTTTGTTTTTATTCGTTCGAACACATATCAAGTGACTTGCATATAGATTGCCACCAAAGATGGCATGATGGGATTTACATGTCTAAGTTGCTGCAATGGTCCCTTAAAACAAGAGTGAAGTAGCGCTACGTAGTGAACTCGGAGGCGAGGAGACAGAAACATTTACTTTGTCTTTTGATCTGTTTATTGCCCACGAAATATACTAAAAGAATATATAATAATCCAGACGAGGACCACAAAAAAGCCTTGAACTCTGATAAAACAAATACTTCAACCCACACATAAAACCAATTCTTATAAAGACAAAACCTTCCATACGAAACACATAGAAGGCACGTTGTAAGGTAGAACAACGAAACCAAAGTTAAAACTTATATTAAGAATTACATGCTCACCCCACACGGGCTCTAACAAATTAAAACTTAGATTCGGAATAATCTCCACGACAAACTACTGAACAGGCAGCCTGGTTTCACTTGATATGAGATAATTAGTAACAACATACAAGTACATGCTGAAGTAACAAAAAGCTTTGATTGTAAATTGCGAATATTTAGACTATTTACACGAGCATCATTTGAGTAGTAAAAAAGTTCAACATACCAGCGTTCTCAGCTTCAAAAGGATATTGTCTACTGCAGAGTTGGTGTATGAAGTCAATAAAACAGAGAGATTTCTTCTCATAAGAGCGATTACTGTATGTACAATTGTAGAAGTTTTGCCAGTTCCTGGCATTCCTAGAATCAGCGTGTAATCTTTTGCTGATAGAATCTGACACAAACCAATATCCACTGAAAAAGTTAGCTCTGATTTGTTGAAGGTGTGTGCAGACACATCATCACTGAGGATATATGTAGGAAACAATTACAAAATGTATAGAACAATGAAGTTCTGAGATTTTTAGACTCCTTACATGCATTTTAGCACTTACCCTATTTATTGCATGTCTCTGATCTTCATTTAAATCTATTGCGGATCTCACATATTTCAACCCGGGATCCGTATCGTCGTTTGGTCCACACTCAAATTTAGGAGCCTGAATGGAAGAGAATAGCTATTAGTCTCGTACAGACGGCTGCATTTCCCTGTCCATTTCAAGATAGAAAACAAATCGCATGCCGTCCTTCAGGTAGATTTTGAAGCGCCTGCTAACTAATTAGCCACACCAATCTCTACAACAGCTAAATCAGGAAGAAGACATTATTACAGTATTCAATAGCACAAAGATTTCAAGATAATTATCAAAGGTGCTTCTCGCGTGGTTATTAAACATTGGGAAAAACTTTTGCCAGTTCCACCACAATGTTAATTATCTTCACCTTCTCTAAAGGAAATTTCAAGTTGCATGCCTATGAGAGAGAAGTAGGTTCGTCACACCTCAAGACCGACGATGAGACGCCGCCTCTGCTCATCCCCATTGTTTTTCACAAAGAGCTGCAAGAGGTTAAACCTGGAATGGAGCATTTTGTGTGAAGTTGAGGCGTTAGATGATTGAACTGGCGAGACACAAAGCATCTGAAGTGCAAGAGTGGAGGACTTACCAACACACTTAACAATTGACGAATCAAGAAACAATAAAAATTGATCGCAATTAAAGTTTCCGAAAGAGTCGAAATGCAAAATATTCAACTCCGTAGATAGGGGGCGGAAAGACCTCATTGTGGCCATAATGGATGCACTTTCATCCTTGTCGATTCGCCATAACTCTTGACTGGTTCTTGCTTTTGCCGACATCTCGGAGCGCTTCGGATTGTGTAGTCGGTGTGAAAGACGAATCTGCCAATAAAGAGGAACCAATCTTTCAAAAGCCAGCACTCGACATTGACTTCGGAGATCTAGAGGAAGCCTGCATTTTGACTGTATAGTATTTTTTGTCAAGCTAATATATGGCATAGAATAACCTATGCATGAGTTTCGTGCTAAACTGACAACAAAAGGCAAAACATTGTTCTGGCTAAAGAGCAGTGAATTTTGACATTCTGCGGAGAATCTGAACGCAAATGCAACAGCTTCAGTGCTTTTGTAATGAGACTTCACTGTAACCCGTCATCTGCAAGCACTTCTTTCAGGGTGTTACTTGTTCAGGGGTGCACAAAAGTTCAAACTCCAGATGGAAACCATCCCTCTCAAGTGCAAGAAGGGGTTGTATTCAACCACTTCCAACAAGCAACAAGGTAGATGCTCCTGTTTCTATTTTATATAAATGCAGTTCTCCTGACATGAGCGTGAAATAAATTCGAGACGTTCCGCTACTGGCGGAGTTAAAGCTGTTTATGGTGTCACTAGCCTTCATCCGAAACCATAATGCAACTGCACATCTGAGGCTTACTTATGGAGCGCTTAGTATCTTAAGGCGGATGAAGTAGCAGAGCGTTTTTTAGTTGATATCTTTTAACTCCGAATTAAGTCCTTCAGAAGGAAAAACTCCAGAACAAGAGATCCTTCAGTCTCAAGTAGTTCTCTCTCGGTTTCCTCCTCCTTTTATTTTATTACGTTGTCTCCGAGCACTCAAAAGCTTCACAATACTGGACCGCTCAACCGGCTTTGTGCCTATGGTCTTCCAATAGGCACAAAGGTCTTCCATTACCATTACCATTACCAATAGAATGCGAATGAATTCGAAGACCAGATGTGCACATTCATTGAGACCAGCTTGTTTGAGTAATAGACCTCGTCGGGTACAACAAGGTTGTCACCTAAGTATCAGGGCATATCAACATACGTACCACGATGGAAACTTCGTTTAAAGATGCCACTATACCTCCAGCAACTGCTGTATGTCCGCTTTCTGTACTCAGAACCTGTGAAGAATTACGTCAGTAGCACCAACAGCTGTTCAGGGGCTTTCAGTGAGCATGCTTTGCTAAATTGAAATATTTCGTTGCAATGAAAACGCAGACCTGACCTCACTCCCGGATTAGACAAAGACCTACCACATAGTCACCGCAGTGGAAAGGCCTATCTCGTAAACTGCTGGACGGAGTGCACATGTCCCCAGTACTTGAATGATCTGACGTCGAGCTGGCCCTTCGAAATGTGTACAGGAAATAACCGGCTGACTCCTTTCGATCATCAGAGTTGTTTGGAGACGTGCTGAGAACCAAAGAAGACATGCAACGACCTAACTCCTCTCGTTTCTTGCTTGGCATTCTCCAAATCTCACTGTGGGACATCTTATTTGAGACGGGACCAAAATCAGTTAACTTCTTAGAAAGTTCAGACCTTTAAAAACTCGTTATAAAAGCATGTAAGGTATGAAGCCGAGTGCGTAAGCATGAAAGAAAGGTCAGATAATAGCTGATGGTGCTTTCGTATGGCTCAACAATATTTACTTTATCTCGTAGTCAATAATCTCCCCTAGATCTTTTTAAGATACTTCCTATATCAGAAACACGCAGCGCGACAGTTTTAACCTCTGGAGACAAGGCAGTTGCTGCACGAAATTGAATCTACATTACAGGCAGGACTTTGGACCACCTAGATGGGACGAACATTATTCTCTACTTGACTCACAACTCAGAAATCACTCACTAGCAAATCTCGAAATTCGAGGTCGATCAAGCGGTCCCATTGCTGAAAAAATTCAAGGTCTGCAGTTGTAAGGTGGGTTGTAGACTTGTCAAACACTTCTCCAAGTCGATTACTGTCTGCTGTAACACCGTCCTGAGCCTGTAGGAGAAGAGATACGGGGCTTAAATCAACCTTCAGCTTTAGCACTGGTGATAAATATAGACAGCGCCATCCTGGCTGATCCAAACCACAATCGCAAATTTCCTTAACAAAGAGCAAAAGAAGAGACTTGAAAACATTCACGAGCGTTTATTTAAGGAGCGAAGTGTCTGTACCTTGTGATAGACTGCGCACGAGTCCAGCTGACGGCAGTTTTGGCACATTTGAGAGCTCTGCCAAAAATTTAATCATTCCTTATCTTTAGTTGTCACTGCTGGAGGCTGTGCGGCTCCATTTCATTCCCCGCGAGGTTATAAAGAGCTATGAAACCAGACATGTAACTGAAACAGAAATTTTGAGCAATGTTTATTTAATCTCCAGCCAAATCTCGGAAGACTTAGAATTCCATATTCAATCAATTAATAGCATAGGAGACATGAGTATGTTCCTTAAACAGAAGCCCTTGAGCTTCAGTAAAATCGACGACTTTTACTCGAAAAAGCAATACATCGTTCAGCCAGGGTTTGGGCTCTAAGTCTTCAAGACAACGCATGGACAAATCATGTAAAGTTCTTTCCAGAATGATATACCTGTAACAAGGGTGGAAGTGTCTGGCTGGCAGAAGCCTTCAAAAGATCTCTTGCATGCTCGTTGCGTCGCATTATAAGACCAACAAGCTCACCTTGCTGAACTGCAACTTCCTGAGATAGTAGAGATCAAATGTAAGTAAATGATGAGCAGAACAAGATTCTTTCTCGCAGAAGTCTATGGGATTTACAACTTCCACAAGGAAATGTTCTTCACAAGGAGATCTCTCCGGCGTGCAGGTAATGCTATAACTTGGACTTAACATCATGAAGAAAACTTGAACAAAGAAGCATCAAGGACAAGCACACTTTCGTGTTTTATACTTGTTCCACCATCAGCTGGATTAGCATCTAGTATATAGTAATAGTATAACAAAGACGAGACGGACAAACGGAGATAGAAGGTTGAACCCCGTAGACCAACCTGTGTTTGGTTCGTGTGAAGATAGTACAAAAGACCCGTGTTGACGGTTTGCATGTACCTTTTAGGAGTAAACAACCGCAAGAGCAAACATATCAGGGACAGGAATGGTAATGCTCATCAGGAGCTGTCAACAATAACGTTGTACATGTACATGATGTCTATGTGAGCTCCTAGTGACGATTGCATCTCCACGATGAATGAATGAAGTGTATACTTTAAATGTTGAGGTCAACACCTAAAATCAGTACTGAACGTTGAAGAAGAAAGCATACACAGCACCCAGTAATATTTCCTGTCGTATTTTTCAAAGCCACAGAAGCGGCACCTCTTTCTGAGCGTTGCTAGTATGTGTAAGCGGGAGGAAGTTAATAGTAAGATGGGATGAAGGGGAAGGACTATCTGAGAATGAAGAGGTCTCTCTCATAATAAAGTTTCTATGTAGAGTTCATTATGGACCTGTCTGACATCAAGAGAGTATAAAGTATGACTTGCGCGCGGTGCTCAACTCCAGCCTGCAACCAAACGAACCAGTTCTTACTGCGACAGCCCAGCTTTCAAAAACTTCCTAGCTTCTACTCCAGCATAGTGGGAATGACAAATAATTACACGCTCTCTTGGTTCTAGCATACAAAACTTCACGTTCACAAGAACCAAGGAAAGGGAAAACATAAAACGTTGAATTCCAAGAGAAGGAACAAGCCAGGTTTGAAAATTTACAGCCTTACGGTAAGAAAACCTCTCTAGGTAGCGTGGTAGTGCGGATGACTACACTGAGCAGTGTGTGGATGACACGGTCAGACAAGCATGTCCTACTTATAGAGAAAGTCGAGTACCTGCCCTGTCGTTGCTTTTCCAGTTTTGAACTCCAATGGCATGATACGATCTTCACCCCCCAGGGTAAGGTTTCCAAGCTTCACCGTCACAGAAGCATCTATCATGCCCTTCAAGCCGTATTTTGGAGACCATATCATCTCTTCGATATCCAGGATCTACACATTATCTTTGATTATGAGTACATCAGCACAGATCGCTACTTCACACAAAACAAACATGTCAACTGAGAGACACGAAAGAGGCAATGAGTGATACTGGTGCCAATACTGAAGCTTACCTCAGAGATAGATCCTACATGCTTCCCTCTGGTTAAGGGTTCAAACTCGCGAGTTTTTTCCTGAAAATTGACAGAGTAAGTTTTGTGGATTAGTGTCTCACACCACTGGCGTAGCTCTAGCAATCATCACTCAAACATAAAAACTGGTGTAAATCACAGAGCCTGTTGCAGATAATCAAGTGCTATTGCTCACTTCAGCTCGGACGTGTTGTTGCCACCATTTCAAGATTGTCGGGATAGCCTCGACCAGCTTGGACAGAGCTTCTCTTTCTGACACTGCAAACACCTATAATTATCAGCTGTAGAATCAAACATGCTCATCTTTGATTAATAAAGATTAGGTCATTTCTTTCATAAAGAACAGAACAGAGGCATGGCAGAGCATCCTCATGTGGAATCGACAAATTCACCGGACAACATTCAGAGAGGACCGTTTGTAGAAACCGACAAGCGAGTTGCGGAAACAGGAAGCAGGCACCCATGAATGTGTAAACATAGAGAAATGTCCGCCATCCAGTAATCTGAGATAAGTGACTGCAGTGACCGCTTCAAGAGTCAACGGTGCAAACTATCAAAACGATAATGAAAGAAACAGATTAGGCAGATATTGCTTAAGCACCTCCGGCTGCATAGAGTCCATCAAGATTCCGCTGAACGATCAGCTCAGCTTCAGACTCCAAATCAGCTGGCAATGGTTGCCTGGACCGGAGTGCTCCCTGTCAGATAACGATCCGACCAAATACCTTAGGTTGGGTAGCAGAAGAAAGACATACGAGTCAAGTTGACAATTAATAGCTGTTATGTCCTGGAAAACATTCCGGAAATGGAAAAAAACGATGTGCAATTATTATTTGGAGCACTAAAAGCTTGTGCAAGATGGGATCCCAAAAGCTGAAACACACTTGGAAAAGCTGATGTAACATTGTTCCAATAAGGGCCGCATATGACCACTCATTGGTCTTCATGCGCTCGTCAAGGACTGCTCGCCTAGGACACGCGAAGCTTGACCCAACCTGCACGAAACTTTGAACACTTTTTGTTGAAAACCTCAACTGTACCCACTACGCACCTTTAGTCAAACAAGGGTAGAGTGCTTATAGGTATCAAAACTCAACTACGCAGATTTGACAAGAAGAAACATGTGTAGAGAAGTTGCAGAGTCATGTAATTACAGTTTTGATAAAAGGCCATTGAAGGCATCTTGTTTGTAGAACTAAGACTAGAAAGAATAGACTTCATTTTGGACACAACAGTTGTTAGAGGTGACTCACCTTCGACCCTGAGATCAATATATCTGGATTTATAATGAGAAGATTGTGCTCCCGATCGATCACGCAGTTATTCGCTTCGTCGAAGTCTCCAAGAACATTCACCGTGTCGCCCGGCGCGACATCTGAATATGACCTGGATCACACAACGAAGAAAGAGAATTGAAACACGTGTCCAAGCCGAATAGTCGAGTGACAGTGAGCTCACTATCAGCAAATGGTAGCCTGAGATGTACTCGTATCTCCACATTCTACTCATGACTTCCAATACACAACTCCAATACTGGCGGCCTTACCAGGAATCTCGTAAGCATGCGAACCGCTCCAATCCACAATTCTCGTCTAGGAGACGCAAAGTCTACATTTACCAGTGACCAGAATCCATTAGAGAGTTTACGTCAAGCTGCATCATTCGCATACATAACATGTTGCAAAATTTTACGATCAATGAGTGACAAATGACAGACTATCCTTACCTTCTGAGGATAGGTGAGATTTGAATCCGATTTGTACTCCCCTTCACTAACCTGCATGTGAAGATAGTGACTATAAGGCATGTGCTTCCAGACTGATGTCAGGGCTGTAGTTTGAGGTGCGTAAAAATTTTCCTCACGTACAAGAGAGTCATGGACACCTGTCTTGAAAGCAGACTGGCAAACATTAAAACGTAGAGAAAAATGAATAGCATGAGATAGTATCCGTCTCTTGATGAATGCAAGACTTTAATTACAGTGGTCTCACCTCAAGGACAAGGAAGTGGATGCTTCGCTCCTTCTCATTGTGGTGCAGAGGAGGATCGAGATGATCGTCTTCATACACGCTACTTGCACTATTATTGTCAATATCTAGAGCTGTCAAATTCTCTACAACATGTGGCAATTGAAGGTTGTCATCATTTGTACTTGATAATTTAGTACAAACCCCCTCATTATTTTCTACAATTTGCACCGATGTGTGGACTACTTTCTCTTCATTCTTTACAAAAGTTGCTGCGGGAGAGTCGTTGGCAAGGCATTTCTCTCCTGAAGCTTGACTGGCTAGATAGTCTGTGATGTTAAACTGGCGTCTTTTAACCTGCGATAGATCTAAGGAGACCTTTGTTCTTTCGGGTGATATCTGTTTTTCATTCACAGGGAGATCTGAGTTCCTGGTTAAGGTTATTGATGTAGGCGTCCTCTTTATTTCACTGTCGACACGATCCAGGAGTTCCAGCAGTTTCTGCGAATGCAGTTATCAAGTATCAGCTTTCCACTGAAAGAGTATGAAAGACACTGCTTGAAATATAATGGGAAACGACCGACTGCTTGTGCCTCAACACTGATGTGGAGAAGACGCTCCGTGTGTGAGGACGATTTGTTGCTTTCCCTGACACTAATAGTTGTCCAGGTTCTGTTCCAATTTCTAGCGAAATCACAAAAGCAAGGTTCGCAAGAATCTAAGAACAAACAGTGCAGAAGAGTTACAGGTTATTGGATTACCCTTCTCTTGGCTGTAACTGTAGGAAGTGAAGTGGATCCCGCTTTCTTTGCACTCTGGTTCAGCAAAATGACGCAATGGTAAGGACAAAACATAAACCACAGGAAACAAATTACAGATTGTACATGAACGGAGAAGAATGTACTTGGATCAAGAAGAAGATCACGCAATTCAATGAAGCTCTTGCAAGTTAACTTAGCAGGAAGACGGCCGATAACCATCGGTAGTTCTCAAGGCAATTATAGTTACCAGAGGACGCCTTTGAGATGAGGTCGACGGTCGTTGTTGAACACTTATCGACTTTTTCTCATACCTAGGTGTTAAGCCTTGTTGAACGTCTAAGTTCGTCGGAGAATTTTCTGGAATTTGTACATTCTCCTTCTCTTCATCTATTAAATCTACATTTTTTTCTAGAATTGGTTTTGTAGGTCCCTTTTGCGTAGACCTCAGCCACAGCTCGAGCTTACCCGCCATTCCGGGAGATTTCTGCAACCAAGACATGTGTGTAAGGGCTTGTAGAAGGAATAGACAAAATTCAGAAACCCACTCAGATAACACTTCGCTCGATACTTGTATGAACAGGGTGGTGCAGATTGGCTGATGCACATGTATCTAGAAAGGGGTACACTCTAAAAATGCTCAAGACTGTCCTGGTTTAAGCGCCAGAGAAAGAGTAGTGGATCTACAATTAGAAGTTTTACAAAGAGTAACGACCTTTTTCTTGGTGTTGGATGTTCCTTGGATAGAAGCAGCAGACCAAATTCCATGCGCAGCATCGGATTTGGTTACAGAATTTGTACAAGGCTGCAAAGCCTTCCTCCTTTGTCCGGTCAACGTGGGCTCCGAGCCACCGACTGTCGCTGCCTGAAGGCGTGCTGCAGTCGGTGAGAATTTCCAAACGATTTCATCGCCTCCGTCGTCTTGACTGGGCATGATGCTCTGCGGTACATTTGACTGAAGCCCTCGAAGATAAGATTCTTACTAAATTAACAGATGAAGTAAAGGAAATTCTTAAAGTTTAAGTGCTATACATCTTCGAAATGTGGTACGATGGCAACAGAATCTGCCGTCTACAAAATTGCGTAGATTGAGGTGAGCTACAAACATCAAAGAAAACAAACAGAGTAACAGATTTACGAAAGACAAACTTGGGAAAGGAAGGAACAGCCATTCTGCAGCTCAGCTTCCTTTCATATACTCAACTTTTGCGTTACATAATTAAAAGTTACTGGCAACAACCATAATTTCGTATTGCAAATGCGAGCAGATGAGAATTCGTGTTCTAGATGAGTTGAATTTGACGATCGAGAACTCTAACCAGCGTAGTAGAATGAAGATACATGTAGTCACGAACTCGATGGAAGATTTCTAGAAAGAAGAGTTGCAACTTGAGCAACCGGTCTTTATCACATACCACGGGCTGGACTGGACTTCTGCGCTTGGGGAGCTTCTTCAGCGACTTCCCCAATCTATCGGGCCCTGCACCTGTACCGGGCAGCTCGCCATTCATTCGTTTTTCAGCCTTCGTCCCCGCTGCTTGTCGGGCCATCCGAAATTTTTGTTGGATGATTTCTTCCTTACAGCTGAAATGCACAGGATTTCAACAGAATCCAGTCATCGGAATCGTGCGAGCTGAACTCGACCACGAAATCGAGTATGGAGAATTGAACCGACCTCACATCAGTACGATCGAGACGGCTGCGGGCTTCCCTCGTGTCCCCCATCGACCTCGAGAATCTCCAGCATCAATCGCTGCGTAGCGAATTCGCCTCAACATGAACTTTCACCGCACGACACATCCGAACTGGATCGCAAAATTTGACAACCAACCAACAATTTGAGACCCATTGACCGGTGGAGACATGGTGGTGTTCAGTGGCATATGTCGTCGTTTGAACTGAAGGCGCTGTTTCTCCAGCTCCTTGAGAATGCGCGGGAACTAAGAGACTGACCGCAGAAGGCCATCGCACAGTTCACTCCAGAGTTCAAACTTCAATGCCCGAGCCTCGTGACGCCTTCCTTCTATTTCTCCATGAAACGGGTACATGTCGCCGTGTGCTTGTGCGTACTTCTACGTGGCACTCTTTATCGGATCTAGTGAATCCGATCCCCGCTCTCTACATCTTTCGCAATATAAAGACGATGCTGTTCGCGTTTCTATTATGCCTAAGAGATATGTTTGTGATTCTATGCATATCTAAGAGATACTAAAGCTCAAAAAACATTGATCATTCAACCCCTACATAAAGGATAATCTCCGTGCATACTTTCAAGAACTCGGGTTAAACTCATAAGTAAACTAAGATAAAGCCAGATTGCAAAACAATAAAAACCATTCCGTTTCTTGGGTCTCTATTTTGGGCTTCATGTCATAACTCACATGTATCATTGAACCCCTTCAGAAAGGAATAATCTTCGTCCTTATTCGAAAAATCGATTCATTCTCATAACCAAGCTTAATTATCGCTAATTCATGGAAAACGACAAAACCCATTTCATATTACCATTTCATCTCTATTATGGGCATAAGGTAATCTAACATAATCACCCGGCTTCTGCAAACTTTTGAAAAGACAAGATCTGAGAATAGCTTAGCACAAAGAAGCCATTTATTTTTTATCAGCACAAAAAAGAGGGGCGAGGGCCCAAGGGGGACTCGACCAAGGAGAGAGGACTGATCCTTGAAGGGGGTATGGACCACCAAGCTCGCCGCCAACAAGTCCCGCGGTGAACAGTAGCAACAAATAGCAATATATGAATATGCAAGGGGTATATCAAGACTTCACACATTCATGATATGAATTCCTCTATGATTATTCTCATGAAAATGCCACAATGAAGAGTTATTTTTCGAAGAAGACTCCGCCCTTGGATAGCGCTTACTTAAACCTCCCAACAAGATTAATCCGCATGTCATAATACCCACACAACATAACATTTATAAAATTTACAATGATATCTTCTCACAAACTGCTGATAGGAAAAATGACTGGAAATCTCAACCTTTTCATCAATACCTCCGTTTTTGCAAGGTTGGGATTTTTTCAATTCCATCTAGGATAAAATCTAGAATCTTTTTGGGGCCACCATAGACAATTGACCTAATCTTTTGGCAATTGTCTATCACAAAATACAATGAAACCATGCCTGTCCTCCTCCAATTTCATTTAAAACCTTAAACTACACAAACTATCTCATCATTGTCATATGTAGCCTTGGAACTCCTTCAACACCTAGCATTACTTGTTTTGTTAGTTTTAAGGATGCAAATCCCATGTTCCATAACGAGTGACTTGACTAAGATTTTCTTTTCGTTTAGCATATTTTTCTCTTTTACAAAAAATGCTTATTCTTATACCATTTGTAGATTCAGAATCTAAAACTTTCAAATAGTTAGTGAAAAAGTATTCTGATATTTTATCCCCCAATATACAATGCACCATTTGATGCATCAAAAAAGTAAAAAATCAGCAATCTTGACAAAATTATTGATTTTTTTCATGCCTATTGTTTTCTTTTTATATTTCAATAGGTGAAACAGGTATTTATAATCAATTATTTTGTGAAGAGTGACCTTTACTGAAGTAAAGTATACTCCAGAATCAAATCAATCCTTTCGGCTGAAGATATATTAAAATGAAGCAGAGCGCAGCCGCAGCCTCAAGTCCAGAAAGGAGTGTAGTTTCTTGGGATTCTAACTCACTTTCACGTAAAGCAGATTTTGAAAAGGTTACGTTACGTCCAGAATTACAAATTACTCAGCCGCGTTTATCCAGCGGCTGAGTACACCAGGAAGAGTTTACATCATTCTCACGAGTCTACTCAACGATGGAAGACCAGAATTGGAGCACTGAATTAATTGGTGAGTTTGATTGTTCACGATATGTTATTATATTCATGCTTTGCCTGACACCATAGAGGCGCGTGTACAAGCCCAGATTTACTTTTTTCATTTAAATCTCGTGGTCGAAAGATGCCAGATGATGTTGTGCAATGCAACGCAAATTACTCGTCTCATCCCACGATGCCAATGCTCATGTATGTTCTAGCATGATCTACAGTTTTCAGCACGTGATCTTAAAATGGTCGCAGTTCTCTGGAATTATAAGATGGTTATGATCCGAAACCATCATTTGGTACTTGAGAGTAGAGTGAGCCAAAACCTCCATAGAGGGAACACCGCTTTCGAATTTCAAAAAAGTTATTACTCCTATCACATACTTAAATACCAACATGATACAGCCCAGAAGTCCAATTCCAGAACTCCGTGGAAAATGTCTAATGTCTAGAAATCGCATTTGTTCACGGAAAAGGTATCATACATTCACCCCGCTCACTTCTTCCTGTATGCTGGCTTTACCAGCGGACATCAATATCTTCATGGTTCATCCTGTTGCTAGTAAGCAGCCGGAGGGTATGATTCCAACTCTGTCCTCACAGCACAAGGAGCAGCTTATCTGCTACCTGATCTCATCAGCTTCACAAATGCATTGCGTTATTTGGAGCAATATTAAACTACAAACTGAATCTTCATGGTATTTTTTTGCCACTGCGCAGGCTGTACAAACACTTTCTGTATATTATCCACAAGTCTATAGTTACCGAAAACCCGGTTTTCTTCTCTCTCAAGTGCTAGCTTCGTAACTGGCAATTCGACAGAATTTTCGATTTGCACAACGACTCACTCGATGTCTATGAGCTAGGTAGGGCAGCTTTTGCACAAGGCTTTATTTTCAGCACTTTGTGCTTTTGACAGGGTGAGACGCAATCATCGCAATGCCGCACATTTTCTCTGGCTGCTTCAAATTTCCCTAAGGCCAATTCTTCTTACACCTGCAAGATCTGTTTCTTGAGAAAGTACCCTTTGTTCCCCTATGTAGCGCCCCAAGAATTCTTCTGATCTAAAAGTACTCCTTTTTAAATGTGCCGTATCCAACAACCACTAAGCCATGATCCAAAGATGTACCACAAGTGTCATCGTAAATCCTCTTTAATCACTCACAAAGTTGATGAGAAGACCAGCAGCGGAGATAAACAGATCACAGGTTCTGGACTCGAATAACTATTGAAAGTTACAGTGATGTGCATAATCACAACATATGTTAATAAGGTGAAGGGATCACTCCCCTCCGTAGGACATCCAGTTGAAGGAGCTTGCGTCCACAGCAACACCGACTGGCTGGAAAGCAACTGCGGTCTGGAGCGAGGTCTTTCTCGATGTTCACAAGGACATATTCTGTAGCCTGTATCGCCAGCTACATCCATTTTCTTCTGCATCGCAAAATTCTGGAAAATTCCAGTCTTTTCGTATAAAGCTGATGATTGGTACATACGTATAGACTTTTATACATAGCGAGGACGCATAATTTTAACAAATCAAACATCATACCTTGTTTTTGTTGCAGATCTTCTGCTGTGTAGGGATGGTCTAGTTCGGTAACAACACCTTTGTTTTCCTGATGTACCGGAATCATTGTCCATGGATGTTGCTCACGCACAGCCTGCAGTGTAGTTGGAAAATCTATAACTCATAAGCTTCTGCTTTGAAATCCAGATGAGTTTTCCTGTTGAGATTTAGTTGACAACCTCGACAAAACAGAACAGATGAGTGAAAATGCCCAGTAGCTTCCTGATGAATGCAGCCTTGATTTCTAAGGGCAATTCAGTCTACCAGAGTCTCCTAACTTCGGAATAAAAATGATCATAGCAAATGTTCTCTGCATAGATCGCGAAAAACCTCTGTTCTTATGAGAGGCAGTAGTAGGCAAGGAAATCAGAACCAATGACGTAAGGATGGTCAAGTTGCTTCTCTACATTATGTGAGGTGACAGTGCTGGCTGTAGCTCCTTGTACGGACCAACACGAGTTTTTCAAGGGCTAACCCGATTGACCTTGGTCTTTGACAGGTCTGTGAACGCTCCCTATTTCCTCCAGTCTAAATGGGCCGGGAGGTATTGGCATACTTAAAACCAGCCGTTTTACAAAGGGCGGCCCTTGTTGTGATACTTTTTCCTCAAGTCATGGATTTGAAATCGTCTAACGTGACATCTGCAAACTGATTCAAGCCTATAGTGAATGAGCTCTTCTTCTCGTTAGTAGCGTTGATTAGCTCGAGATTCTGAGTGAACATGTAAAAGCGCAAGCGCTCCTAGGCAGGGCACTCGTACGTTTTGTATGATCTCTTATCCTGTTTTTTAACAACTCTTTCCCGTATATTGAACTTCTGGAATTGCCTCGTTTCTCTGTAAAAGACGGGACATCTGTTGTCTGATCCAGACATTGAGAAATTGAACTGCAGAGGGACACAGCCGGGGTTTCCAATTTGGATCTCCCTGTGGGTACACCAGAAGGTACTATCTTTACCAAGGTTCTTCCACTTCAGTGATTTGATGTAAACTCTAAAGCACATTCTCTGGAGCAACTTAATTGCTTCAATGATATCCTTCCGCAGTCACATCTCTATATAAAAACAGCAGTTGAGTGCTTTGTAGAGAATCGACCAAGGTATCTTCCACTTACTTTCAGATCAGGTTCTTTGGTATAGTATACCGCTGGTCACCATCCTGGTGAAACCTTCTCGTTTGTACTAGTAGAGAAGGAGATCGGCGTGTACAAACTCCAAATTCAACCGCCAATCCTTAATTTGCACATAGAAACAAATTATGGTCCATTCAATAGCAAGTTTGAACTTGCAATTGTGACTCTGCAGTACTCAGTTGAAAGCCAACTACATTTAAATAGCACATATAAATCTTCCAGAATGATTAGCTCATTGATATGCAAAGCGGATTGCTGTCTTCACGTATCTCAGTACACATCTTCGTAGGTGAAGGTCTAGAAATTTTAGTCCAAGTTGTATATGAAGATGAGGTTGCATTTGCAATCTTAAGCGAGCTTATATGTAAAGATCATTATCATTTTGCTTGCAATCTAGGATGATATTGATGCACGAAACATTCTATTGACTGTGTCTTCAAACGTCATTCCAGAAGTCCATTTTCACAATTTCTTCTTGTTCTTATCAGGTATGACTTGTGTTTAACCTTCGGCCCGGTAGGTGCAG